TATTCCCTATTTTCCTTCCATCATCCAGCAGCCACTAGCAGGGGTTAGACACTCAATCATTGTCATTAAATTCTTGTCTGTCAACTGAAATGTTGTTGTTTTAATTGTTAATCGTACCGCTTTAATGGTGGAGATACTAATAGCAAGTCCAAAAACTTGCTATTTGTAGATGAAATTGTAGACAAGTGTAGTTTTTCATTTTCTAATTAATTCCCTCTCTTGTCTCTTGATGGCTCAAACCCACATCTTTGTGACCTTCCACTGTTTGGTTATCCTTGCAATACTTCTATGGAAATAAGCATGTTATAGAAATTAGTTGCAATGTCCTTCCACTGGCAGTGTGTGTCACATCGGGCTGCATCCCCCAATTTATCCCCTCCCTGGTTCAAAGGAGATTCCTATTGATTTCCTAACACTGAGTCAGCCTACAGAGTAAGTAGAAAGTGTGTGCCCTATTATTTGTTCCAGTTGATAAAATAGAAGGCTAGACCCTCATGTCTTTATTCTAGGGCCCGTTCAGAAACAACAGGCCCTTCAACCCCCCCCCCCCATGTGATGCCTCATATACAATAATGGCACCTTTTTTTTTTTTTTTTAAAGTTATTCTTTGTGCCTTTAATGGACAGGACAGTAGAGAGACAGGAAATGGGGAGGCAGAGAGAGGGGGAATGACACGCAGGAAGGGGCCGTCCGATGCGGGAGTCGAACCGGGGGCCAACTGCAGCGAGGACTGTAGCCTCTAACCCACTGCGCTACGCGACGCCCCAATAATGGCACCTTTGGAATTGATGTGTGTTGAAATTATTGTCATGGTATTAAATCGTGTGAACTTGAGGACATGATTAATGAGATTACACTCAGCGGGGGAAAACAAGTGTGAATGCAGGCTGTATTTTCATACATGCTTAATGTGTGTCACCCTGTGGGTTACTGCCCAAACCAACAGAAGGAGATTTGCTTTCCCAAGAGAAGGTTACATGCAATCTCTCAGTGTCTGGGCATCTGCTAGACAGCAGGAGAAGCCTGAGACAAATCCATTTGGACCAGAAATAGCATGATTGCACCTACCTCCACATCTCTAACAGGTTTGACCAAGAATGGTGTGTACAGTAAGTAACACGTTTTTCGGGCAGAAAAGCTGCCAAAGCAGTGGAGCGCACAGGACTTCATGTGCATTTCATGTTTACATTTTCCATTGTAGGCTTTTTACATAGATAATTCCTCCCCGCACGGCTTTTGTTCATAGCAACCGTTCAGCTTTTTCATCCCCGGAAGTTTAAAGGTGTTGTGTTGCTATTATTGTAATTGCTACAATGCTACAGGCTTCAAATAAAAGCCAGAGACAATGTCCCTCCTACAATTGAGTTTCTGTGCCGTTTGCCTGGCCTACAGCTGCATCCATCTCTGCAGTGTCCCCGAAATTTCTACGCATTATCAAGGGGAAGGATGAACTAATCTGCAGTGATTTGAAATAGGACCAAAACACTGGCTTTCCTAATCCTTCATTTTTTTATCAGGGGTGGTGAGGAGCATTTTACCCCTGTGGGAGGGAAAGAAAGAGGGAGCTATTTCATGCTTCACCAGTTCCACTGTTTTTATGAAGATTTTTTCCTACCCTCTACTACCCCTGGTTCAATCCATAGTGTAACTGAATTTATAAAGCCTGTTTGCGATAGTCAGACACCTTTTAGAAGTACGAAGGTACTTTTCATAATTAGGGATGTGTAGATGGCTGCCTTCTCCCTCTGTAGTGGTAGTAATTTAACTTTAAGGCAGATAAGGCTCTGTATCTCTGGCGAAAAAAAAAGAGGTGCAATTTCCTTAGCTGTCTTTCATTTTATTCATTTGACAATTGGCAAACACCTATGGCACACAGGATATAATTTGCTTCCCAGCATTACTGCATGAGTGCACCAATTTGGATTATTGCACACATCTGTGGAATATAATTCATATAATTATGTTTCCTTACATTATGTCAACCAATTTATTTGATATTTTATTTACTTATCTAACACGTTTGGGGAAATTTCCACATGCTGAACTCTGAATAGCAGATGCGGTTAACATCATATGCTGAGGTGTTTTCCTATAGTACAGTCAGTTCCATAATGCACAGCGTTAATACGTACTGTGAAATAACTGGAATCTCACAGTTTTTTTTTTTAATTTCATGTAAACTGGGACTAAGTGATCTAAGCAGAGAAAATTCCAAGTGTATCAGCAGCTGACATCCAGTTATAATGTGCTGTTTTTTTTTTTTTTTTTTTCATTGAGACACAGCAGAAACACAGAAACAAAAAGGAGCTCATTGATCTGCTGTGATCTAAACACAGTAAAAGGCACGGGGTATAACAAGCAGTAGGAAATTTACAAGGTAAGCTTTGGCAACACAACAGCATAGGTCATGATAAGACTATGAATTACTAGAACACCTCCGTCTCAGAGGACCACTTGAGGCTCTCTCACTGTGAAATAATTGGGTTGCAACAGTGAAACTCCTACTCCAGTTAGAGTGTAAAGGTGGCTTTTTGCTTTGTTTTGCTGTTTGCAGGACCACAGACAGAGCAGCGACTATTAATCAATGGCGGACACGTGTAGCTGACGGCGTAAAGAGGGAGATGAGTTCACAAACTGTAGCTGGATGTGGATGTGGAAAACATCTTTCGTGAATGGCTGATTATGAAAGGGCCCTTTATGTTTTGCTGTGGCGGAAATGTTTTTTTGACATAATATTCCCAGTTTGTTTTGAACTCCGATAAGTTAGACATATATCTTAATTCGTCACTGTGCTCCACATCGGTCAGCAGATGAGTTGGGCGGGGGGGGGGGGGGGGGAGGGGGGGTTGTTTTCAGGCGATGCCAGCGGAATACAGATGTCTGATTTGTGGGTTACACAATGTAAACTTCACGAAGATTGTGTTTCCATCACATCTGGCACTGCATTTTTTTTATTTTCATGTTTTAATTCATGACTGGAGCCTCTGAATCACAGTGTGAGAGCCAAAAACTCACACTTGGCGCAGGTCTGTGCTGCGAGTCTTTTTTTGTCTACACTGGACAGACTTCGGCGCCTGTGGCAGGACCTGCGCTTGTCTGCGACGGGGGACATCTCCCTTTGTTGTCAGAACACCTCCAAACATCTTTCACAGAAACAATTACCATACCATCTGTAGCTTCCTGCTAGCACGTTGCTCGCTGTCAGCACGTCAGCTCGCCCCCCCTCCCCCTCCCTCTGACACACCACTCCCTCACACTGAGACTGATGAGGAGCTAGGTCATTGTGATTTAAAATGGATACGTTTAATTGCGTTAATAGTCACTTTGTATTCTGTTTTTTTTTTTTTTTTTTTTTTTTTTTTTTTTTTCAGATGCCTTATAATGGAGCTGTCAATGGTGGATTGAATTCTCACTAATGTATTTTCTGATTTGCCTTGAGCATTTGGCGGAGTTGGTGTATTGATGAAGGCCACTGTATACATTTCCTGCAAACCTTCAATAAAAAACTTAATTTCTGTTAGAGTGAATATTGTTGCTGTGAAGGTAATGGCTGACTGCACTGGTGTTAAAGGAATAGTGATATTAGATAAGAGTACATGTGCCAAACCCTTAAGTTTTCACAGAAAGTAAAGTGTTTTTCTTTGAGTGCTGAGGCTAATGATTTGTTCAAAATGATAAGGCTCAAAGACATACTGTACATTTGATTATCTTTCAGTAGTGTATTCAGGTGCTGCAATACACCTGTTAGCGTGCTTATTTAAAGTTTTGCAAAGTCTTGAAAACCAACAGCTGTGAAAAACATGTGTAACTTGTCAATTTGTAGATATGATTACTTTTCCTGCTGTGTTATAATGAATATGTGACACATCCATCACTATCATGTTGATTTGCACACAGGCTAACATGTCCAGCAGAAGCTAGCATTACGAAGGGCTAGGTGACTAATCAGCACTGACATGACTGGTTTGCTCAGTTCTACCAGACACCTGTTATAACATATTTCATCTGAAGTCATGTCACATTTTGCTGCAAGTAATTGACACTTTGATGCCAGGACTGTAAACACACAACTGAAAGACAAATTAAGGGCACGGGGAGGCACATTACCAGTTGCAGTTTTGTTTTTGTGGGTTCACATGTTGGTTCAAATATCGTGTTGTTTTCAGTTTGAACTCAAGACTGAAACATTGAATTGGGTTCTTTTTTTTTGCATCCAGTTAGGGACTGTACATAAGTATTACAGGGAGAAGAGTTGAGAAATGGAAGGTGGTGTATTTTCTCATTTTGTTGAAGTGAGGGAAGTCTGATATTTTGGACAAACATGGGTGTGTCTTTGAATATTTTCCCACAAAGAAATTATATTTTATTTCAGCCTTTTTTTTTATTTCACAGAGCTGCCACCTATGACTATGCTCATTTACTCAATAAATAAGAGAAGAGATAACTTCAATGTGTGGGATGCACAATTTGCCATCGTTTCTAATGTGAGGTTTGGTGGATATTGTGAAAATTATTACTGCATTTACATATTAAGTTTAAAAGAACGTCACTTTTAATTATTTGTGCAGCTCAAGTTTATTATTTGTTGTCTGTTGTATTATTTTCATACATTAGAGGGGAGGATGAAGTTTTTCTATTTCAAGCGGTCCAATGGACAATCATATCATATTGTTGTTTTTTTTTTTTTTAAGTGAACCATCTGGTTCAGCTGCCCCTCCCAATCCCAATAATTTTCATACAGTCCCTTGCTTAGGAAATTAAAACAATGCAGATAAAATTCTTAGAAACTGCCAGATTTCATCTACTCTGCTGCACAATTGGCAGTGGGTTGTGAAATTCTGACACGAGATGAGACAGATGAGACTTTCGAACAAATCAAACCCACTTAGGGTCAAACAGTCTCATCCCAATTGCCTCAGCACTTCCAAACTGCACTTCACAGCAATGTAGAGATGATTCCCTTCAGAGTTATACTTCATAACTGTCTCTCTGTCCCACAGGTACCCCAGTTACCCGGGTAACAGCTTCAGATGCCGACGATCCAGTGTATGGGAACAGTGCTAAACTGGTCTACAGTATACTGGAGGGACAACCGTATTTTTCCGTAGACCCTAATTCAGGTAAGCACAGTAGTTGTCGACTTGTTACTGTCTCCAACTTAAATTGAACATGGAAGACATGGCATGCTAAACGCAACACACCCAATAACAGAGAGGACCAATATAATCTCTATGACTTAAAAATAGAGACATAAAAGGATGACACCTCTGTGGGGCAGCCTAACAATGGAGCTCTTTGTGCTGTTAGTCACTGTTTGCCTGACAAAGCCCGAAGAAGATCTGTGTGAGATCGAAACGTTGCTTCATTAAATTTAATGGGAGCTATTAACACAGTGTGCAAATCCTTTGTCTGTTTCTAACCAATGGAGAGCATAATGTATTACAAAATGTAATGAATGAACGCCACGCCCATGATGGGACAAAAAGGAAAGAAATAGACTTTACAGTAAGACAGTGATTACATCTAAGGATTATTTCAATAGTCCTCTTCTTCTAGACAGGACCAAGCACATTAGGCCAGAACCTTTTTAGTATTTAAACATTGTCCTTTTTCATTACCACCTTCGACTTAGATAAATGAGCTTACAAAGTCACCTCAGGTCAAGTAGCAGGCTATCAGTGTTTGACCAAGTCTTATGGTAAGTACATCCAAATGACATTTACGAATAACTTTACCTTAGATGGGTCCAACTTATTGTGCATAGATGCAAATTTGCCGTGTTAAGGTCACACCTCAACTGTGAAGCCTGTCTTAAGCTTTCAGGGCCCAACTGTGTATCAGACACCAGGAAAACAACTGGATGTTCAGACTATAGCTTTTAAGCAAGCAGTATCAAGTGGAAAATGATCGAAAAAGTTCCGTGCTCCAGCTGAAATATTTTGACAATCTCTTGTCTAATAGCTGACTGTTATACCACTGCAACCATGTTCTAATAAAAGTATTACAACTGTTGACAAGTGCTATCCAAATGTTTTCAAACTTTCCGCAGCAACTTGAATGCATCAGGGTTTTCTAAAAAAATGTCCTTGCACTTACTCTGGCAAAAATCTTGAGACATGCTGCATCTCAAAGAAGAACATTATTGGTATGAGTCGTTGTGCTTTACATGCCCAATGTTCAAAGTTGTTAATGACCAACTTTGATTTGAATGGAAATATTCAAATGTAATCTATCCAACCCTGTCTCCCAGAAATGATGTTTCTATACAACTAAATTGCAACAGTAAATGTGTTTTGAAGGAAACATAATTGGATTTGATTGGATTTGTTCGACTTCATTGTCCACCTCAGTGGAAAGTTGTCTTTGTCTTCTCCCAGTCAAAAATACATACAATCCACATAACACAACACAACAGCATACACAACATACAATAATACAAATGAGCAGGTAGCAGCAGATAAGAAGAAAAACAAATAACAGCTGTTAACAGCAAAAAATCACAAACAAACAAACAGAGAGAGAGACTCAGGGTCAGCAGCCAAGGCGCGCCCCCAGCATCATAATGCTGACTGCATTAGGTTTTCTAATAACATGAGGAAATGTTATTAATTAACATACTTAAGGCTTGTGGCCTTCATCAGGCTCATCAATCTGGAGTGTCGCTGGAGTTTTGACCTCTGTAGACTTTTTCCTTTCTCCGGTCACCTTGGAAGGAGGTGAAGTTTTGCCAGGAATCTCTACTTTGCTTCCTGAGTCACAAACATGTTGAATCTGAACATAGCAATGAAATGTTCAAGGTCAATGTATTTTTTCCATCAAAATAATCGATCCTGCAATTTGCATTTGTACTGACTGCAGCCTTTTTACACGTTGGTTGTGTGTAGACACTGGCAGCATTGCAGACTGTGCTCTGGTTTCACACAGAACAAGTTTAATACAGAAAATGTTTATTTACATTTCATCAAAAAAAAAAATCTTTCCCTACTGAACCCTAGTCTCTGGTGTGACAGTGGAACCACAGCCACCTCCTAGTGACTCCATGGCTGATAATAAATGCGGCGTATTATTCATCCTAAAATGATGTTGCCTCCAAACATAATCCAGACGATTATGTTGTCATCACAACATGATTGGTAAAGCATAATTTCTAGGAGTCAGGATGGATCTATGAGGAAATCAGTTTAGCTTTTTGGCTACTTGGTAAACTGTGACATCTAAACATCAACAAAACATTTAGATCCTGATTGCATGAATATACATGAACATTCAGGTGTGTATCAACAGAAACTCCTCCTCCACTCTGACATTTAGGCTGGAGGGTCATCCTCTACCTGCAGCATCTTTTAAACCAACCAGTTCTTTAGAATTCATTAACATTCATAGTTTAGTTTCACATTAGCGCATATTGATTTCTAATGTTGCCTGGGTTTTGGCAGCATCAGTCTCTGTGCTGCCAATACTGTGGATTCCAATGAAGAAAAAAAAAAAGAGACTGAGGTGACAGCAGTGAGTGAGAGGGTGGCTTTTTAATATGCGTGTGCACTGCCTGCAGGTGCTACAAGTTGCACAGGTTCCAGCAGGTGGAGATGCAACAGCTTTCCCACCTGCTGGCCCACCTGAGGTAATCTCATTGTGTTGTAATGCATTAGGTTTAAAATTCATATATTTCCCGAAAGGACAAAACAGGGATTTATAGTGAAAAAAACCCCACTTATCATAAGACCACAGCCATGGCAGCTAATGTGTGTCGTTAACCACTATGTACTCTATATGTTGATACCATTATGTAACCTCACCCCTTTTTACCAAGCCCATAAGGGACAGCATTACGAAATGCACGCTAAAAAGGAGCTGACCGTGTTGGTTGTAGCTTAAAAAAAGTTGTGTAACAACAACAGGACTGCAGGTAACTCAGCCCATCTGTTTTTTTGAGATGCTGGCGGATTATCGCTGCATGTGGCTGCTGTTCAGTCAGGCTCCCAGGCTCGCTCCCTTCTCCTACCCCCTTCCCTCTGCAGCTGCACACTCGCGTATGTTTCAAAACACAAACAGTGCACTGAGGCAAAAAAAAAAAAATGAGCGTGTTACTGGCGGCTCCATAGCTAAATTGAGGAGCGTATACCTTTAATTAAAATGTTAAGTTTAAAAAAAAAATGTTGTTAAATGTGTTAAATAAGAAAAACACACACAGCTGATTTGATGAGTGAAATGGAAATAAGACCCCATACGCTGTGTCAACGGCTTCCAATAAATTTAATAATGCAGCATTTGATCTTACAGAGATCTTCTTCAGGCTTTGTCAGACAACAGTTAATGACATCACAAATGAAAAGCATCTCACACACACACACACACACACACACACACACACACACACACACACAAGATATTACCCACAGGTGATTGGAATCTACATAATAAAATCACCTCGGCCCTTATACTGAACCAGGAGGGTGCTGAGTTAGTGTTGCCTCTCCCAGCTGGACGTGTGGGCTAGACGTGTAGGTGGCTGAGGACAAAAGTATGCCTCTATCACTGGAATACACTCAGACAAATACAATGGTTTTCTCTATTGTGTTTGTCCCGGTTTAACTAGGTCATCTGATGGTTTGAATGCCACAGCCCTATCTGATCGTGATGTACTCAATATCACCACAATTCAACAAAGGGCCGCATGGAATTCATTATTAAAACTACAAAATTATCAGATGAGTCATATAAGTGCAGCTTTGCATCACTAAGTTGCGTGTTTTCCATCAGCTGATTGGTCGTCCTAAATGCTAAATGGGCCAGCACTCGTATGCTGCTGTGTAACATCATTGGCTTATGAATTTAAAATAATGCTAGTAATAATAATAATAATGATAATAATTACTTCTTCCTTTCACAAGGCAAACTCTTCAGCAGCGTCATGATGCATAAAGTTATCTCGAAACAGATTCCAGATTGGATCTTTAATTGCTTTTTCAGCTGACTTTTTAACATGTGTCTGTAAGCAATATGATTAAATAATGGTGAAATTACATTAATAAGAAATGAGATGGAAATCGACGACTCGCAATTTGGAAAACAGCACACAATAAACAAGCTGAAAGAAAGGGAGGCTCAAAATTTATGTACATAATTAAGATGAATACTCGGTTCAACACTTAGAAATTTGGGCTCGTCCTCACTGCTATAGGCGTCCCAGCGTTTCGAGCGTCTGCAGCAGCCGGAGCGTGGCTATAGAAAACGCACTGAACGGACAGTTTAAGGATTAGCATTCATGCTTTGTGTGATTGCGGGAGCACACGCAGATGGCTCATTCAAGTGAGCCAGATGTTTTAATGAATGTTAATGAAAAATAAAAGGTAAGAGGAAAACAACCATTAGAATGCATTTGACACTTATAACACCACATTGGAAATGAAAAGCATTCAATAAATAAATAAACATCATGCCCCAATTCATCACTTGGTTAATGGTCGGTGAAGAAAAAAGAAAAAGAAGTTGAGGCAAATATCTATGGAAATGAGTGTTTGTCTATCCTCCCTTTTCAGTGATTAGGAATTAATTTGAATAATTAACGATGATCAACAGAGATGAGAGTGTTGCTTCTAGCAGGATAACTGAAGTATGTTTGAGAGTGTGTGTGTGTGTGTGTGTGTGTGTGGAAGAGGGAGTACGAGTGTTGTTTGTGTTGCTGTTTTTATTTATGGATTCATTTGTTTGTGTGAGTGAAAGCGAGGTAGGCCTACCTCATTGATGCCAGTCAGAGATCTTACTAAAATCAGACTCGTGATAGGCTACTTTCTTTTTTACTGCTTAGATTAGTGATATAATACAATGTGTGGAGTATAAACACTCGTATATGTTTGTTTATTCCTATTAGCAGAGCAGACGGAATAATAAGAAGAGTTATATTAAAGTCCTTTTTAATTGGGAAAGTTAATGTTTTAAAAAGTCAATGATGCTGTGATTATGTTCACTCACTCTGTCCTTCAGACTCTCTTAATGTTACCCATCTATATATACAAGGATGTGAGAAAATGCACTTTGTACTGTATGCAGTGTTCCAGTATCTATTATGTCATCGTGGGGGATTTACAGCAACTGCTGTAATTCCTAAAATAATAACCAGGGCCTTTATGTACCTCAGCTGCAGAGGTTAACAGTCTTTACTTCTAATTCCCTCTGTTTAATAATTGGTGATACCAGTATTTCAGTATGAAGCCTCGTTTTCATTCACTCATGTTTGCCCTGTTAAAGTTACGTGTTAAAAGTCTCATTTTGTATAAAGGTAGATTTCCATGTCTTGTTTGATTATAAAGCAGGTCTAGGTTCTATATTAATACTGTGAAAGTAGCAAAGCGCTCAGTCCACAGAGAAATGCACACAGCCTGTATTCAGAAACTGAGCCTTAAAACCAGCCGTCAGGACTTCTGTAACTTCTGTCACGACTAATCAGCCACCACTCTCAGCCCAGCCCACCCGCAACCACTGTCCAGCCTTGCAGGATTTCATTTCTCTGAGTGTTTACTTTTTATTTGTTCACTCAGAAAACAGTCAGCCAATCACAAGAGAGGCTCAGAGCCTGTCCAATAAAGCACTGGAAAAGTCACAAATATGGGACCTTTAATACAAACTCAACACTTCCTGTTACCGTTTCAAATTAGTCCTTTAACATTTTCTGTGGACAGAAACCCTTTATTTCCTGACAAGGCTTTTATTGCTCTGACGTGCTGCAGTAAGCGTATTGCCTCATTTCGAGTTGCTGGCGTTTCTGATTTTCTTACCCACCCACTGATGTGGCAGCCGACCAGTGCTCCCGATGGCCAGTCAAAATCAGAAATGGATTTCACTGTCAGATCTCAGACTCCTGTGACAATAGCCTTTTTATTCTTTATGTTTGTATTTTAAGATCATTTTGTATTAAACTGAATTCTAAATAAGTGGTTTGGCATGCCCTGCTGTGTGGTGCTATCCATGGTACTGAAAGAGGGATTTAATTCTGACATCATAAATTAGCGCTTAGACTTTTGTTTTGCTGTGTATGATGGTATCCCCCATGTGGCAGCAGTGCAACATATAAAATCCTGCAGCTACAGGTCAGGAGCTTCAGTTAATGTTCACCATCAAACATCAGAATTGGGGAAAAAATGTGATCTCAGTGATTTTGACAGTGGCATGATTGTTGGTGGCAGGCGAGACAGAGTATTTCTGAAACTGCTGATCTCCTGGGATTTTCACACACAACAGTCTCTAGAGTTTTTTTACTCAGAATGGTGTGAAAAACCAAAAACATCCAGTGAGCAGCAGTTCTGTGGACAGAAATGCTGTGTTGATGAGAGAGGTCAGGGGAGAATGGCCAGACTGGTTGGAGCTGACAGAAAGGCTGCCGTAACTCAGATAACCACTCAGAATGCACAACACATCCAACCTTGAGGCGGATGCGCTACAACAGCAGGAGACCACGTCAGGTTCCACTCCTGTCAGCCAAGAACAGAAATCTGGGGCTGCTGTGGGCACAGGCTCACTGAAACTGGACAGCTGAAGACTGGAAAATTGTAGCCTGGTCTGATAAATGTGGATTTCTGCTGAGGTGTGCAGATGGAACAAAACCTGAATGTCTGTGTAGGATAATATACTTGCTACAATCCTTTGTTAATTGAGTTTAAAAAAGTTCATTACATAATTATCATTATTATTATTATTGCATCATATTTGTGACCCCAAAGAGTTAAAGGTCCCATATTGTATAAGATGTCTTTTTGGATTATAAAGCAGGTCTATGTTTTATATTAATAATGTGAAAGTATCAAAGTGCTCGGTCCACAGAGAAGTGCACACAGCCTGTATTCAGGAACTGAGCCTTAAAACCAGCCATCAGGACTTCTGTAACTTTGTGATGTCACAACAAAACAGTCATGGCTCTCAGCCATGCCCCAAGCCCCATCAACCGGGACCCATTATCTAACCTCGCAGGATTTGGTTTTTCTGAGTATTTACCTAAAATCAGACAGCCAATCAGAAGAGAGGCTCAGACGATCTCTTCTGATTGGCTCACCAACCTGTTGTTACTGATTCCAGAGAGAAGCCTAAGCGAGGAGATGTAAACTACATTGAGATGGTTTTTGATACTTAAAACTACAAATATATCTTGTCATAAAGTTGCTTGTTCAGTCATTACACTGCAGATGTTCATGATTTATAGAGCTATATAGAGAATGATGGTAATAGCAACATGTAATGCTCATGGTGGAGAAAAAACCCCAACCCCAGTGAAACAATGGTAAAACGAAAGAAAGCTTGTTATATTGGATAATTTAGATTTTCTGAACAACAAGGTTACAGCTCCTTCCCCCAGTGCAACCTTGTTGATGAGGTAGTTATTTTGTTATATCAAACTCTCGTCCTTCACATTCTCCAGTTGTTAGATCATCAGTGTTGCGTGTGACCTCCAAAAGCAAAACTCACCCTGAAATTGTGCTACATCTCTGAGGAATATCTATCTCAAGAATAGAAAATGGAGGCACAGACAACATCCTAACCCCTCCCATGTTTTTCATCATAGCTAAGCATATTCTCATTGTCTGAGGCAGCTCAGGACCGAGGCAGGGTGTCATGCCAAAGCCTGGCTTTTATGAGGGGTTTTATATTCATTTGATGATCCTGCGGGCCTCTGTTTCCTGAGTGGATTATCCGTATATGCCGGTGCTGAGCCCTTTTTATATTCAGCGCTGTGGCAGAGTCAATAAGGTCCATTCTGCATACAATATTCAAGATTATACAAGACAGACAGCATAATTCACACTCAATCAGAATACAAATGACTGCAGACAGCAAAAGAACGCATTTGAAAACAAACACAGCTGATTCTCAGTGCTGGAGCTGGCTCAGTCATGACCACCTTGCTATGCTCACAGAGACTTGCTTTTTAAGAGAATAAACTTGCAGGGAATTCTCCTCCTCCACTCGGTATGGAGCTCTTGTTTTGTAAAGTCATGGTCTGAAATAATGCATATTGTAACCTCGAGAGTCAGGTGGGCATGAAGGTTACTGTAGGCATTGTTTTTTTTTTTTTCTTATGCTTGCCTGTGCATACTCTCATGAGCATCATTAAAATGTTGTGCAGAGTATATCAGTCATGTTTATAATTGCATTAATGTGCTATGAACTGTTTCCACCTCCAGCAACCATAAAAATTGCTCTCCATGGGATGGATCGGGAGATGAGAGAGGAGTACCTGGTGGTCATTCAGGCTAAGGACATGGGAGGACACATGGGGGGCCTGTCTGGAACGACAACAGTCACCGTCACACTCACAGACATCAACGACAATCCGCCAAAGTTCTCTAAAAGTGAGTCACTTCGCGACCTTAAAACATCACAAATCGAATTATGAGGAGAAGCAAATGACTGCCGCTCTAAATGAGTATTTCTCTGATTGGTCATAATTGGGAAAAATAAATGTTATCTTCTAAATTTCATCAAACAGGCTCCTCAGAAGCTCATTCCTCTATAAAGGCTGCAATGTCTAATGATGATACAGTGCTGTAATATGCTTCCAGGATTTAGTTTAATTTGATCAACATTTCTAGAGCTATGTCTCTTCCTCCACAGGTCTGTATGAGTTTATAATACCTGAAGACCTACCATTAGGGAAAATGGGCGGCAAGGTGAAGGCAAATGACAGAGATATCGGTGAGAACGCCAAGTCAACATACAGCGTCATCGAGGGAGATGATCAAGGCGTGTTTGAGATTATCACGGACACGCAGACACAGGAGGGGATTCTCCGACTGAAAAAGGTAAGACCTAAGAAACTCCACTAAAGTCACTTCTTCATGATCTCTGTCTTTGTGACTCACCGACCGATTGTCAAACACACCGGGGCCGTGGGTTTCAGGGTGCAGGAGCAACAAGGTGCATTTTTCTAATGTGAGCCAGAAAAGGTATAGCAGCTACATCAATCTGCTACCAGCTAATGACTCGAAGGCATGGGCAAATGCTGTATAAAACATAAAAAAGAAATCATGTTTTTCTTGCTAAATGGCATGCTAACACAAGGACAGATTGCTAAGCCTCTTCTGTACCACTTGCCTTAGCATTTGAGAGGAGGCTTCACTCGAAAGTGTAGCATTAAATATTAAAAAACTGGGGGCTGAGTAGCTTGGGAGCTAAAGGAGCATTTGCTTTTCTGTATATATTACTAAAACCTATATATTTGTCAATTCCAAAAAACCTATGGCAGAAAAAAAACATCACGTTCACATGTTGCTTGCTTGAAGTAAAAGATGAACATTCCAGCAGGTGTAGACGTTCAAACACATTTGGCAAATGTGTGAAAATAAAAAGTCTGAATAGCTTCCTTTTCTTACACTATACTGTTATTTTCACATTAGTCTTTTGGGCTGCAGCTCTTTTAGCTCATAGCAAATCACTACATATTGTAAATGTGTTCAAGTCCTCATTCTAACGTTGGGTAAATTCTGTTTTGCTGACACCCACATCACCATCGCCATAAGAGCAGATGGACCGCACCCAAAGTTTTTTTGCAATGTTAACACATCCACATGTGAGAGATGGAGTTTTTCCACTGCTGCCCTTTGAAGCAACTTCACCAGAGCAGTTGCTGGGTAACTGCCTCACTCAAGGGTACATTGGCAGTAGTTGTTCCAAGAAGAAAAGACAATACATGTTATATTTGTTCATCTAGATATTCCCAGGTGTGTGGTCCCGAGGCAAACAAGCGACATTCCCGTCATAAAACCTGATTTTGTTTCACCTTGAGGCGAACACATTAGCACATAATGACACAGTGCAATGTGTTGTCGGTGGAGCATTGTATTGAATTAGCAGCATTGTATTCATCAGATGATTTTAAAAGTATGGCAGAGGCTAAGACACATAAGGCTCTCAGTCGTCTTTGCGCAATTTCACACAATATGATACGTTTCTGTATCTGCAGCACAGATGCAGTATGAATATAAAAGTTGGATGAAAGCTGTAGAAGTTTGAACCTGGACATTGTTGATCGCCTGTAGACATTTAGAGCATGAAATCCTATATTCTGCTCAATGCTGAAATTTACATTTGAAAACTGCAATGCATTTTAATAACACTTTGACTTGCAAGCAAGTTGAGACAAAGCTGCATCTCAAGGACATCTGTGAAAAATCAAACTGAGATTTGAACACATGCTATCAAAGATAGCCAAAGCGCATGCTACTTATATATGTATGTATTCTGTATCCTAAGTCTATAGAAGCTGTGCCTGGTAGAGGATGTTTGCATATATTGAATCATACGCATGATTGATGGATGGGCGTTCTCAAGTCTTGAGTCATGGTTGGTTCAGTGTCTGGAGAGAACAGCTATACATCACTCAAACACGGAATGCCATTGTGTTGTGATGTAAAATGACATTACCCCAAGGACATGCGGTGTGACTTTGTCAAAGTGTGAACAATGGACTGCGTGGGAGGTGGAATGTATAAGAGCTAAGACAATCTGCCGAGACTACGATTCACTGCCACTAAAGAAAACATCAGCACTGGAGAACAAACTCGACACAAAGTCATAAAATCTAACTGTTGACAAAGCAAATGTCAAATGTGTTAGTCTTTTAGGCAACCTCCACTTCCATGTCCCGCAGAGAGCCTCACTCTTCCCATGTCTGCTCGGCTTTCTCTCTGTGGCCCTTGAGTCGGTTGCCTACATCACTAAGGCGAGATAGATGATAACGTGTTGGGAGAGTCGCGAGGCATTTGCACACTTAGTGTTTCTTTGCATCCCTCCAGACAGCGGGGTCCCAAGTTTAGACGAGTTAAAAGAAGCAGTTGTTATGCCGTCGCTCTTTTGTTCCTCACCAGTGTTATCCTCCAACCGGGATGACAGAAGAAAAGATTCAGCGTGACTCTTTCTCCAACACACCCTGTCCCTGTCAACAGCTGTATGGGACTATAAACTGCCATCTAACACGGAATTCAAATTATTAAAGATCCTTTGCGGCAAGGTTAAAACATATTGATCTAACTGAGGCTGGAGAGGCACAAACCAGGGCAGAGATTCTTTGCTGTTTGGGTTTTTAAGCTTTTTATCTGCCAGCCCGCAGGCCTGTCGAGGGATGTTAGTGGGATGCTGAGCTTTCACCCCTGCAGCCAACGCTGAACTTTGAAGTCTCTAAATGGCCTGTGTACATACTGATTTGATGCTAACGCTTGAGAGAGACCGAAGAATGACACAGCAGGGTTGTGGTGTGGGACACGGCGGCGAGGGGGTGTCAGCTCAGGAGAAAGAAGAATGTGTCTGTTGCTGTCTCTGTTTAGAAATTTAGCATCATTCAGCTAAGCCATGTTTGTTCAGGATCACACAAGAATGGAAAACTGGCTGTGCAACCTTGACTCCAAAAAACCTGCTACATACTGTAGCTCGACAGTTTGCTTTTTACACTCATGAAACTCTTTAATAATCAACGGTAGTTGTACAACAGTAGCACTATGCATACTAATAAAAATCAAAGTGGTTCTCTCTGGATTACTCATTCAAAGCGCTCGGTGCGTTTATTGAATTAATAATTTGAATGGGTCAAAATATGACTTGCATCCTGATTCCAAGGCTAGGATAACATACAGTATTTAAAAGAGCAGCTTGCATAGATGCTTTGTTTTATTCTGTAATTGATAATGAAAAATAATTTTAATCAAACTTTGCTCTGCTAATCAAAGAAGCTGTTTACTGCCATTTTTTCCTTAAACCATTTAAGTGGATTTGGTGTAATTAAATATGCCAGCCCTCCCCACCCCCTTCCCTTTCAGCTCTTTGTTAGGACACTGGGAACAAATGTAATGAGTTGTTTCTCCATGCTGTCAAGTGGGAATAACACTGAAATATTTTGATAAGGGGGAAGCAAAGTAACGTGAGCCTATTTTTCCTGGATTAATTCAATGTGGTGCTACATTAGGTGAAGAGCATCAAAAAAGTACTTGTCAAGCTGCTTTAAGCAGCATTTTTTATATTGATAATAGATCAGGTTAATATGAACGATGTGAAGTTGGTCAGTTAAAGGGATCAACCTGTGGATTGTTTCAGCATCCTTTAGCTCATTGTTTTGGTTTCATGGCCCACAACAGCTAAAGAAAAAAAAACAAAGCAGAAAGTGAAGAGTGAATTTTGAACATTAATCAGGACGCCGTGTTGTGCTAGTGTTGCTCCATGTCTGCTGGATGGAGGCAACTGTTTGCTAAAAATGTCATGGTAGTTTTTCAGTGTTGTGTTGACAGCTTGTTCTGCTAAGTTGCAGAAAAACAACAAACAAACAAACAAAAAGCAAAAGTGCAGCTTTAATATTCCAGATTTGCAGCTTTAAGTTTCATTGGATGATGCAGCTTTAATTTTGATGATTAATGATTTAAATTTTGTTCATTTTCCAGTATAGCCAGTGTTGACTCATATTATTAACACATTTGAATGGCAGAATTTCAGTATTCCGACAATAAAATGTGAAACTACTTACGATAAAGCAAGAAAGCAAGAAAGAAAGACATTACATAACAGTAAAGTGCCAGATAGCATCACCTCTGTTGGACATCAGCCAGCCAAATCAATGTATGTACCAATAAATGACTTTCAAATAATACATCCTATTAAAACTTAGGCCTTTTTCCCTCTCGCCATTTCCATATAATGGTTTTGACTATCCAGCCACAACCTTATACAGGCTCTTACTCTCCACTACACTCTGAATTAATCCATTGGCTTGCGGTCCAGCCACACTCTGTATTTTCTCAGCACAGACGGCAGGATCAGAGAGAGAGAGGGAGAGAGAAGCAAGGAACGGAGGGTGGGTTGGTGTCAGGAGTGAGGAGGAGAGGGAGGAGGAGAAGAAGGGGAGGTTAATAATGAAAGTGTTCCAAATAGCTTCTCTGACTGTGGAGGAGTGGGGCTTGGAGAGGCTTCAGGGGCTTAGGTCTGTCTACTAGTGTCCTGATGCCAGGAGTGTAGGAGTGTGGAAGTCAAAGCCCTGGGTCGCCTCTCCCGTCCCCCCGGCTGCTGCTACTGTCTCGCAGCCGGACCAGACACCCCTCCACCCACATGGCCCCTCTGCCCCCAGAACTCTCAGCACTGGCCCTGTCTGACCTCAGGGACAATTCCTCTTGCTCTCATCCTCTTTTTTTTTCACACTGAATACATTTCTCGTTTTGTTCATCTCCCTCCTCTTAGTCCTCGCCTTTTCCCCAAGCCAGCTCCCATCCCCTCAAGCGGCAAGGCCCAGTTTTGATTTCCCTATAAATCCTGGTTATGGAGCGTGGAAGTGACTTGATCCCATTATTCTAGTAGTATGAGAGCGACCAGAGGTGATTCAGAATGAAATTGTGACAGTCTGGGGTGTCCTCGGAGATGCCAGACGAGTAAAATTGTGACTCTCCTCTTTCTCTTAAATATTAATGAAGAGGCATCTTTAAAAGAAATACGGTATAGCAATTGAAAACAGAGATTAAACAGATATGTCAGTCACGCAATGACATGTCCTGCACAAAGCAGTTGTTTATTTATTTGATGTGAGCTGGTTGTGATGGCACTATGAAATAATCTGCTGTCACAGAGGGTGTTAGCAGAGAGATTTTATGTTCTCTCATGCCGATAAAGGCTGGAAAATATTCTCAGGATGTGCAACTCTGTCAATAATTGTCATTTATTGTGACTGATTTGATTTAAATCAAACTGATGATCAGATAAATAAATCAAAGGCCTGCTTAGAACATCCACTCGCTCACTTTATAGTCCACTATATAGTGAATCAGCCATTTTGTAGCACTGTTCGAATTTTCAACTGTAAATTTTATCCACTCTATGGTGCACTGCAAATTTGTCATGAAGCGCACCAAAATGTAATGTACAGAAGATGCACACAAAGCTAGACCATGCACTGCGGCCTGTCTTGTAAAAGTGCCGCAGAAGACGGCGTCATCTCGCTAACAGGCTGGCTGCTACCGTTAGCTGCTGGCTAATGTGATCCTTCCTGGAGAGCATAATCCTCCTCCGATGTCTCGATCGCGCAGTGGCTCATCTCCTCCTCTGCCTGATTGGCTCACCGACCTGTTGTTACTAGAGCTCCAGAGAGGGGCCTGAGAGAGGAGATGTAAAACTACATTGAGATGATTTTCGATACTTAAAACCACAAATATATCTTCTTCTTCTTGGGTATTAACACTTCAAATAAAACACAGGAAAAATGTGAAATATGGGACCTTTAAATTCAAGTTTAAAAGCATTTTCAGCAACAGTGTCAAAACTACTCATTATGCAGAGTGGCCTCTTTTAGATTCTTCTATTGTTCCTAATCTTGCTGGGTGAGGTGGAAGTAACTTTTACTGCTCTGTGATGGGTAGTTTAAAAGGGTCCAGGAGCTTAAAAGAGAATCATTTCATAGCAGCAGAGACCAAGATCTCTCTCTACTTTTGGTCCCTAGTATGAGGCAGGCTCCAAAATCACTGGATACATTCCCTATAATGAAACTTGATAGCGTCTTTCACAACATCCTTCCTGCCTGGTGAACAACACAGGCTTTCTTCTCTCTGACTTTGTTCCTTTCCAAGTCAAGGTAACCTTGATGACGAGGTCAAAACTGGATGCAGTGTGTAAAACTTGTGTCGAGTGTCCCTTTAATCTATAACAATTCATTGTATTTCATGGGCTGATCTTATGTTTTGTCTGTAAAATGTCAATTTTAATCTATAAAGCATCCTTACATTACACTTAATTACATTACTTGAGTGATTTGGATACCTCTGTTGGACAACAAAGCAGTTTTTGATCATACCTCTCTTTGCCCCCCCCCCACAGCCTTTAGACTACGAGAACAAGAGAGCCTTCACGCTAAAAGTCGAGGCCACCAACATCCGCTTGGAGCCCGGCAACGGCGGGCCCTTCAAAGACACAGCAACAGTGAAGATTGTGGTCGAAGACTCCGACGAACCTCCTGTTTTCTCCAAACCCATGTACTTACTGGAAGTGAATGAGAACGCCCCCATCAACACCGTCATAGGGACAGTCACCGCCAGGGATCCGGACTCCAGTGGGAGCCTTGTCAGGTACGAGAATGAATGCAGTTCACAGTGAGCAATGTAAAAAAAAAAAACTCTAACCATCTGCTATTGACTGACCTGACAAATACAAATCTGGAAAAGGAAAAAAAAAAGCTCTTTAGTGCAACTTCAAGAAGTGATAGAGAGAATAGGTTAACAAATTCTTTTCAGGCTATAATGAGTTGTTTTAATAAAAGGGTCGACTCTGAGGCACGCAATTAAATCTCTTCATGCCTGCCAGTGACCTTTGGAGACTGCCATAGTGTCTTTTGCAGTGAGGAAGTGACTCAATGATCACTCTCATTTCCACAGATGTACAAAAAAAAAGAAGAAGAAGTAGATTATGAGTTGAAGGCGGCGCAACTTTTCTCTTTCACTGTATTACCAGCCTTGCTATATTCTCCACTTGTGTGACTTATTCTTGGAAATACCACAAGGGCACCTTGAGGATAGGTTATACAGGCAATTGCTCTCCCTCCATCTTGGCATTTCATTAATTCTCCAGCGACTTGCTGACCGCATTCCCGGGACAACACTCAACAGGTTGTGTGTAATTGCATGGCGAGCAGAGAGCAGGCTGGGTTTCATAGATTGGCTGGGGCTACAGAGCAGGGCTGGTGCAGTCTACGGTTTCTTTTTTTTTTTTTTTCTCCCTTTCTGGTGGCATCCTCATGTTTAGTGATGAGATTGCTGGGAGGAATTGAGCCCTGAGGTTGCATGATGTCCCTCCCCTGGTAAAAGGAGAAGTATATTTCATGTATAATGACATCTTTTGCCTCTCTCTGTCCTTATACCATGTCACAGTGCTCCTAAGTTTGTCGATGCAAGACTGAGAAACCCAGTGTGAGATATTATGTGTACAAAAGTCCAGTGTATTATTAAACTGAATAATCTCAAAATAGCACATCCTTTTGAATTATGCCCCGTATTAACAGCTAGTTATGTTTGCCTACTTGTTATTTGTCTCCTTCAGTGCGCCGTTATTGAAAGAAAAAGTAGCTGAATAATGAATGAGCGTGAATGCAGATGGCAGCACCCTGCTGACACAAAGTCCTCACACATTTGCTGCCATGAAACTGCCCAGATATCAACATCCTGTCTTGGCACTTGTTAAATGTTTGGAGCATGATGCAGTTCAAACTGAGTCAGGGGCTGCCATCTTACTGCAGCGGGCTATTTGCCTTTTTGCAGTCTGTTTCTCTCTATTGTTCTTTTTCTATTTTTCTAGAGGTCATTCAGTTGCACTCGCTGTGTTCGTTATGCTTTTAATCACCAATTTTATAATTTTTTTGTGGAGAAGTTGTTATTTTCAGAATGGATCGGTGCTCAAGGACTTTGTGTGACTGTCAGGCCGAAAAAAAAAAAAAAAAAAGAAAAATCCACTGCAGTCAGAGAAACAGAAAAGAGCCTTCTGAAAAATCTTCTTTTAATTGAAGTCAAACTTTCAATTTTATTCTCCAAGAGACAGAAGAAGGAGAAGGAGTAAGTGGCTGATAGAACGCTGCATTAATCACCTGCCAACTCCTGTAAAACCACTGATCAACAGGGAGAATAAGTGCTCAAAGATTACACACACAACCAGACATTTACTTGCCAGTTTGCATTTTGTCACAACAAATTGCTTTATCTCTGTGATTTTCCTTGAAGTCCAAAACATACATTTTTTTTTTTTTTTTTTTACCCCCGCTGCAAATCTTCAAGATGAGCGTGATCTATCACAGATGTCAAGTGTTTTCTTTGTGGTGGGATGAGATGAAACAAACTATTGTCATGGAGGGCTTAATATGATGAATCACCCTCACCAAAGACCATTTGATTTTACTCCTAGCCAGGGTTTGTATTAGCCTGTAACTCTGAGCTTTCGGCTGATAAAATGATTGCAGTCTGGAAGATTTTAATCCTCCACATATACTGGCTGACAGAAGGCTGTAGCCTCAATTATTCCCCTCACGAGGAAAAGAAATATGTTCTAAATAGTGGAGAATCTTAGTAAGCCAAATATTTAGACTTTGGTTGTTTGCGGTGCATACAGGGTGGCAGCTAATGATTATCTGCTTTATTGAGTAATTTGCCATTTATTCTTTATAGTAATAATAAAAATAATTTGGTGGCAGAGTGCAGTTATAAGAGCACAAGCTGAAGCCTGATCAGCCTCGGATGGGTCACCTGAATGAGGGTTGCTGATATTAGAAAGACCAGAAAACACCCAATGGCCTCAGGATACATCGCTGATGATGTGCCCTAGCTTAGATGTTTCACTACAGCGGTTACAGTTTCCTGCAGAAGTGGACAAAGTACACAGCTCCATCACTTGACACACAGAATAGATCTTCCTGATCAAATGTTACTCCAATACAAGTGAAAGTTGTTCAGTCACATTTTTACTTGAGTTAAAGTACTGGAGTACTTTCTTTTAAAAAATAAGCATTCACAAGTACATTTTTTTTTTTATGTCAACATTGTTGTATTGTTCACAGACAAATTCACAGAACCGATTGACTCTGAAACAACCTACTGACTGACTGTAGAACCTGTAGGATAAAAAAGCTTGTAGAATAAGCTACAAGAACATTAGAATTGTCTATAAAAAAATACAATTGAATCAACATAAGGACAGCCGTTGTCGTTCTTGTATTTCTTTTTTCTAACACACCCCCACCCTCCACAAAACAGCATGGCAGTGTTCTGACACAGCTCATAACCATTGTTAGGCCACTGCCAAGTTCAAATTGAGCGGTTCAAAAATTGCAGCAGGCACAACATGACTGACAGTGTAGGAGTTGGCTGTGATTGATTTTTCTCCAGTGGTGAACACAATGAATGGCCTGTCACAGTTTTAATAATAATAATAATAAAAGATACTTAATTCTGCTGAATAAAAGCTGCTTCAAAGTAACGAGTACTTCATAGAAATGTAGTGAAGTCAAAAGATTTGTCTTTGAAGTGTAGTGGAGTAAAAGTCATAAGTTCCCCCCCCCAAAAAAAAATATTATACTCAACTAAAGTACAGATACTCTGAATATATACTTAAGTGATGTACTCATATCAAGTAATAGTACTTTGTTACTGTCCACCCCTGGTTAGTGAGTCCAAAGTGTGACCAACAGTTGAAAAAAGAAAAAGATATTCAATTTGATTTAAAACAGAAGAAGCAGTAAATCCTCACACTGGAGGAGCTTTTTTTATTTAAAAATGGAACAGAAATCACTAATCATTTGCCAATTTTGACGATCAACTAATCTGATAGATCATTGCAGCTCTAAATAAAAAGTCTTTTGGTCTTTTTTTAGGTGACATACTTAAAAATGGTGAAGCAAACAGACCTGGACAGGACTATTATTGTATAAAAATAATTATATTATTAACCATAGCCTTTTTATCTGTTTTTCAATATTTGTCAAGAAAACTGAAAAAAGCTGAAAAAACCAAGTTTTCTTGTGAAAATAGTCGTGAGTGTATCAGCTGCAACACATGGGTGTTAATCTTTACACTTGGAGTAAGCGTAATTTATACTTATCGCCTGCAGCTGTGCTCCTCTCTCCACTCTGTCTCTTTCTCTGAGTCTCTTATTCTCTAACTTAGTGTTTTGAAAATTGGAAAGAGAAGGGGCTCCAAAAACAAAGGCTATAGTTAGGGAAGGAGGATCTATAGCGGAGGAGTGGCAGAGGAGTAATGGCAGCATTACTGCGAAACGTTCATCTGATCACCATTTGAACCAGCTCTCAAGTCGACCAGCTCTGATTAGAATCGCTCTCCGTCTCAACCCCCCCCCCCCCCCCCCCCAGTCCTCCCTACCCCTCCGAGCCAGACCAGACCAAACCAGTCTGCATCTAAACCACTCGAGGCGAGTGCTCTGGTGGGCTGCCATGTCCTCTGCACTCTGGAGACAAACAACCCCTTAGCTGTACTTAATGCATCCAACCAACAACATTTCAGGTGCACTCCATGAAATACTCCCCCAGTATTGCCTCTCTCTGGAGCCTGTGCTCTGTCGTTTTCTACCTGACTGATCACAAATAAAAAGCAATGTGACATCTGGCAGTCACTATAGCTGTCTGACACGAACTGCTGGATTTCATGCAATAGCGGGGACTGTATTTTATTCCAAAATATTGATACTGTGACAAGCGGTGCCAGAATCTGCTGCTTTGGATTTTAAACATGTTTGGTTTGCATCTTAGTCTTCATTCTCTCTCTCTCTTTTTTTATCTTCTTTTATTGTTGCAGGGAATTGTAGGAATGTAATGGAATTCTGTAAAGCTTGTTTCTTTGTGCAGGCTTTCTTATGTTGTTATAGCACAGCTGACAGCTGACATGCTGCATATGGTAATACAAGCAGTCATGTAAAGGAGATGGCTTTGAAATGAATGGAAATTTAATGTCAGCGTACTGTTTTTTTGTTTTTTTGATATTTTGTTATTTATATGTAACTTTGGACTCTCAAGGAAACTCCTGGTAAAAGAAGAGCCTGGGATCCAACCTGAATGAAAAAAAAGGGAGAGTTAAAACACAACCGGTCAGCATTCAGGGGATGGCAAAAAATTAGTTCTACATCTGTGATCCTCCCAGTGGAGTTACTGACCTAATAACAAGCAGGAATGTCACAGAGGCATTTTGTCCTCTGTTGGGAAAAAAAAAAAAAAAAAAAAAAAACATTTGTTCTTGATCTTTTCACCTGTTCTTTTCCAACGTGCACAGGCACTCAGTCACTCAGATGCACACATTCACACTCTAATGGAGATAAAAACCCAGCAGCCACTGTAACACATGCACAGGTGTGAAAAAAGGAGAAACACAAATGTCCAGAGAAACCTTTCCAAGGCAGCTTAACCTTTACATCTTGCTAACTAGAGCCTGACCGATATACTGGCGTGGCCGATATTGTATGGTATGTATTAGTATGTGAGTATATATGCTGGCTGATAAGTTACAAACTTGTCTTCTGTGATTATAAAGCAGGTCTAGGTTCTATATTAATACTGTGAAAGTATGAAAGCGCTCAGTCCACAGAGAAATGCACACAGCCTGTATTCAGACACTGAGCCTTAAAACCAGCTGTCAGGACTTCAGTCACAGCTGTCAGCCATGCCCCAAGCCCCGCCCACCTGGACCCACCATCCAACCTCGCAGGATTTGGTTTCTTTGGTTGTTTACCTGAAATTTGATCCAAAATTGATCCAATCAGTCAGCCAGTCAGAGGAGAGGCTCTATTCTTCAGTGTGTTGATGGTTTGAAAGTAAAAATCTTTCAGGTTCTAGAAAAAAAAAAAAGTGTTTCGGTTGGATGGTCACAATTTTTCAATAACGACATTTAAAGTGACACTATGCGACTTTTAAAAGAAGGAAAAATACATCCCTTCTCTTACAACTGAAAGTTTTAATTCACAAGCTATAAAACTCACCATTAATCAATTTAATATGCTCAGGAGCTTTGCTAATATGCTCTTGCTTGGTGTGGTATGACCAATAGCTTATGGTGACAAACTTTAGACAGAAATTGCTGCGTAACTTATATCACTGAGTCAGTTTCCTGACTTAATAACTCTAACTCTATAACAGGACGCTACTGGTACATGACATTTAACATTTATTAATATCAACTCTCACCATAGTGGTTGATGTTAATCTAAATTGGTCTCACTTTAAAGGGTTTCAAGGATAGTTATTTAAAAAATATTCACTCTTACATCAGTGTCTGATTTTTTAAAAACTCTTATTTATCAGCCTCAAAAATTGCTCCAGTGCTAATACAGCGCAGTGAAATTTTTGTCTGACGTAAACAGATGTTTTGAAGCAGTACTTCAGTGAGTGTTGCACTTTCATGAAGAGGGGGACTCACAAGAGAAACAATCAAAAGAAGAAGAAGCAGAGACTGAGAGAACCTAAATATCGACCAGCTCCAATAACACTGGATCCTACATTCTCCAGCATGCAACAGGATTCCATGCAACAAAATTCAGTGTTTTGCTGTTGAATGAATCAACATGACCAGCGCTTGAGGTCTGATGCTGGAGGATGTTGTGGATTGCCACTGTGTTGTTGTGTCCTTGCTTGGTTTTTTCTCCATTTTTAATATTCAATTTAAGCTTAAAGACCATTACATCATAATAAAACAAGCCTGTGTTGCTAGTATGTGTCACTGATTAATAGCGCAGTTAAAATCTTATTGCACATTTAGTTTATAAACGCTGATTCGTCTTCGGTGGAGAGAATCATTTCACACTCATTATGTGGTGGAAAAAAGAAAATCACTGGGTAATGTATGAGCAATGATAGCCACGGCGGCTAAAGAAACAAAGAGCATTGACACAGACGCTCAAAGGGAGAAGACGTTCCTGGCTGTACTGTTTGATTGACAGGTGATCTGTGACAAATGCAGTGCAAAAATCATCAGGAATCATGAATGAAAGGAAGAAAACGAGAGTATCCATCTCACTGATTACAACTCCTACTTATCTTTTTTTATGCATGGAGCAGCTTCTGCTGTCACACTGATGCATCTCAGTTATCATATTATGTTTGTTTTATATCGAGGCTGAATGTTTCTGGACGTGTGTTGCATCAGTCGTAAGAGAGCTACTCTGCTGTGAAATATTTGGCACAAACATCCTCTAACGTGACGTTTGACTGTTAGGCTGAGGTCAGTCCAATGCCGTTTCAAGGCTTGTGAAAAAAGCTAAAACGAGACGACACACACACACACACACACACACACACACACACACACACACACACACACACAGACACGCATTTGCACACATCCTCCACATCACACTCGAGAAAACTGCGCACATATTACGCTCGGATATCATTTTTTATTTGCTTTTAATTCTTTTCACATCACGTTGTCAGTTTGAGTGACAGGTGGCAGAACATTTCAGGGTCTGTCTCCTCGCTTCCACGTGAGGCTGTCAGCGTTTGACTGGGATCCACTCAGTCTGCAGGAGAGAGGCTGCTCCCAGGTGGTTTGCTGCTGTCTGCCTGTCTTGAAAGTGCTCTGCGTCTGCAGGGCAAGAGAGAAAGAGAGGGAGGGATGGTGGAGGGGAGTTAGGAAGGGGGGAGGGGGGGAGAGAGTCCTCATGGACCTCTCCCAGCCCGGCGTCTAGAGGATTTTACACCATTTCATCTCAAAAATGGAAATGTCACGGCTCGGTACATCTCCCCAACAATTGGAATCTGGGCCAGTGGTTTATTTATTTCATTTCTTACCATTCTTGTATAAGCAGCACTCTCCTTCATATAAATTGTTGTTGTTGTGACTTTGTCTTGGGCTTTTTTCTGCTGCTCTTCCTCTATTTCTCTTTTCACCCCCCCCCGTATCCCTTCCTTCCTCCACCCCTCCTCTATCTCTCCTTTCTCTCATATAAATACTGCAGGGTTCCTGCCAACAGGTCTGCACTGATAGGGATGAGCGGTTCCACTGCGAGATGGTTACGAGACCCAGGGTTAGGAGGGAAGAGAGACAGGGTCAGCAGGGCGCCTGGTGACTGAGGGATGCCTGTGTGGGGAAGAGGGTCTGAGGGAGAAAAAAAAATGGATAGGGGGATTGGATTAGGAAGAGCTTGAGACCCAGCTGGATGGAAAAGAGGAAAAAAAAAAAACTTTCTGTTAGTGAGAAAGAGGGGGAGAAGAGATTGTGTGGGGATGTAGGAGTGAGCCGGAGAGAGAGAGAGAGAGAGAGAGAGAAAGAGAGAGAGAGAGCGAGGAACAGGGACAGTTTGTCCTGGAGGTATGGAAACACTTGTACACGGTACACGTTGTAATTAGCTCACGTGAATCACTGTGGCCTTGTGTTTTGGGTGAGTAGGATGTTTATGAGAGTCACACATAATGGCTAATGAAATGTGTGAAACCAAAGATGACCCATAATGACAGATTCTTTTTTAGTCAGTTTTGTGTGGGCTCGTCCCAAGAATTGGCGCTGCGCGTGTTGCAACATGAAAGAGCGATTTCACAGCTTCAAATGGCATCGGAAAATTCTCTTTTATGTGCATTCCAATTTCATACCCGCTGCTGGAGTTTTTTTTTTTTTTTTCTTGGATTTTATGTCTTTGCCACTGTTTTATTTGATTTTTTTAAGACTGTACAAGACTCAAAAAGTCAGTGTGTCACAGGAATAGGGTCACGGAGAAACAGTTTGTCAAATGTTTCCTTTGAAAACGGGTTTGAGTCACTCTGACACGAGCTGCTTTATTGACAAGAACCTAATAGTCACTGGTGTTTTGGAAAAGAAAAGAAAATCATTTTTTCCCTAAGGCTAGACAAGGTCACACATAACAGGCCGGTCACTGGTTCATTTCCATTACATCCATTATCCCCTCTCTCACCCGCCCCCACCCTCTGTTGTTTGAGCCCCTGTGTGACACAATGCTGTCCTAACTCATTAATGCAAAGCCTCTGGGAGCCATTGAGTGTTGACAGAGCCCAAACAGGGTTAACAACACCCCATCTCTTACCCTGACATAACATTTACTAATGGTCTTTTTTTCTGCAGCGGGGGGGGTGGGGGAGTCGCCCATGATCGCAGGGGGGGAGGGGGCTTCTTGGGCCTTATCAGGCTTTAATGCCTCCTGCTGCTCATGTGAAGCCTGTAATTATTCCTCAGATGATAATATATTGATTTCCTGCTGGTTTTAATGTGCATTAATCTACAGGTTTCTCTTGATGGATAAGGTCCCGTTAGCCGCAACACCCAAAGGAGCTGCTAAAGACACTTTGGCGGTGCCGTCGCTCAACAGTTTTGGCTCAAATTTCGGGCTTGTCTCTTTGCAGATACTTCATCGATCGGCACACGGACCTGGAGAGGCAGTTCAACATCAATGTGGACGATGGGAAGATCACGCTCGCCAAACCGCTGGACCGGGAGACGGACATGTGGCACAACATCACAGTAACCGCCACAGAAGTCAGTAAGTAACCTCTGCCCGCATCTGCTTCTCCCCTGCTGCGCACAATCCTTTCTTATGAAATGTAATGTCCTATTTCCAAAGTCAGCGTCATGTCAAGGCTCTCATTTGCACGCGAGTTTTAAAATAACTGAGAACTGCAGGAGGTTCCTCTGAGCGACTCCAGTCAAAAGGAATCACTGACCTGCTGCACACAATCCTCTGTTCGACAGTATGGCGCTTTGTAAACCATCCCTCTTTAATCGCTTCAAGAGTATGGCACAAACAATTAGCATTTGAATCCACGGAGGCATTAAATACGTTAATTTGCTGAGTTTTGATTGAATTAAACAGCTCAGTAGTCAATTTGTGGCAATGCAAGAACATTAAGACGTATCAAATAAACAGTTTTAAAGACATGCTCCAGAGTGGATTGCTCCAATGCCAGCATCCATTACAGATTAAAGAACATCTGCGAACCGCAAAACTCACTGACTACGTAGAAAATCTTGCCGGCAGAGCTACAAACAGCTCAGACCATATGTAAGGCTTTATTTGCATACAGATTGTTTCAGGGGGGCTGTATGTTGTGATAAAGCTTAATGTACCCCTTAAGGCTATTGGAATAGAAATTTACACAGCTTGTAACTTTTTTTTTCCCCCCCCTGTCCTCTTCTGCTCTATCTCTATCCGTCTCTCTCTCTCTCTCTCTCTCTGTCTCGTTCTCTATCTGTCCCTTTCTTTCCTTAATCAAAGGAAACGCACATTAATTGTCAGAATAAATGAAAGCTCAAACACTGTCATAATGTTTTGGCCGTGCAGTACAGACAAATCCCACCACCGTAGCAGCAGCCCCGTTAGAGGAATTGAGAGTGTCTCATTTGATAAGCTGGTTGCCTTGTGAAGTCTTGCACCCGTACATTTAAAGTGCGTTTTCATGCCTCTTGGCAAAGTAACTGTGGCTTGAGATAGTGGCATCTCCGAGAACACCTAATAGGAATTTGCCAAAATAAATATGGCAGTTTTGCTATTCTTCATGGGCAGGGAGGGGAAAGCAGTGTCTTCTCTGGCGTGAAGAGGAATAGATGTGTTCCCAGTTCTATCCCGATGCCATTTGCCACCCAAACGGAGACACGTTCTGCCGCCTCGCACCAGTTGACATCTGACTAATCAGATTCTATTCCCTGTCTGCTGCTGGGGGAAAGTCACTTTTGCAAGGAGGAGGGACTCTGTCTCTCGCTCTCCCTCTGCCCTAATCCATCTATGCTGTCTATCAGACTGTCAATTTCCTCTCTCCTCACTGCTTACCTCTTTCTCAACTCGTCTACCGGTCTGCTGGAGGCCTTGAATATCTGGGGCATCCTGTCCGCTGCTCCATTTGTTTGTTTTTTTTTTTATAAAAAAAAAAAAAGAAGATGACAATAAAATAAAGAAAAATAAGACAAATATTTGTAAAAGACAAACGCCTGTGACATTTTCATGCAAATAAAAATATATTTGTTTCCTCTTCTATAGTAATTGTTCAGTTTCATGATACCAGTTAATGTTAGACTGTGACATAAATGAAAAGTTAAATATATCTCATTTCATCACACTGAAGACTGAAGTTTTCCTGCCACAGCTCCACGAGGTTTAGTCTAGCAGCTGAAAAATGAAGCCAACAGAGAAGTGTTAAAAACTGCAGTCACTCGAATGTCCACTGGAGGCTGACTCCAAAAGCGAGTCAATCCCTACAGCCTCACATGTGAAAATGTTTTTTAAAATTTTACAGCAGAAATAAACATGTTTACAGTCGGGTTTAAAAAACAGTTTTGGTCTCTTTAGCTAATGTTCCCCTTCTTGACAACTGTACGGGAGGTGAATTTTTATATAACTCACCCGTTTAAAGTTTATGAAGAGTTAAAGTTCTGCATAATTGAGGGCGTGGCCGCTTTAAGTGCGTATACTTGCCACAAACCGTCACGCGCCGTCTGTGCTCCACGTCTTCGCCCATTTTTGGACTAGCTGGGAGTTTTGGTGGAGTCAGACTCTGCAGCAGCTGAGCTTCAGAACCGCTCTTCAGAAACCTGTGGGTGACATCAAGGTGGCTACATCTATCTTCATTTACGGTCTATGAGTCAACCTGTGGCTTGTGGTAATTAACATTAACTTTACATAGATGCTGTCAAAGTGACATTAATGAGGTATCTACCTTTGCTGACACTGTGTCTCTCTACAAATGCTCCTGTTACTCTCCATTTTAGGTCTTGCAGCCCTGCAGCTGGCTCAAGAGAATGCAAGGGAATCAAGACAAATGACATTTTCTTATAATTACCACAATGGCCACAGTTTAGCAAAGGTTACATAGTCTGACTTTAAAACTATGTATACCATGAAAAACAGCCTCACTCCTCAGGGAATCTTAGGTTTATGTCTAAAGCATCAAGACATTGCATTTGCTGTAATTATAATTGCTGTAATAAATGAATCGATAAAAAAATAACAAAACAAAACAAAAAAAAAAAAAAAAAAACAGGCCAGGCCAAAGCGACATGGCCTTCTCGGGGCCACATAATAGATAATTGCTCTAAAAGTTGGCATTTGCTCCACAGATTAATAAATACAACGGTTTACGTGGACTCTCGAAAGGGACTGTCAATTACCCGCGATGAATAATTCCAATCAAAATCTAATCTAATTAAACTGCCTTTTATTGTCTTTTTAGACTTCAGTTACCAGTGACTCATTAATATGCATGTTTTAACCCTCATGTTTTAAACATTACAGTGTACAGGGGATTTTCAAAAGCACTTTGAATGAGATATTTTTTTTCTTTTCTGTTGCCTAGAATCCTGTTTTGCATCACTGATACCAGCTGAAACGTAGATTGATGTGGCTTATCATCTGTCCTCCCATCAGCTCAGGAAATGAAGGGAGAAATAAAGATTGAAAATAAAGGAAATTAAAACTAGGTCACAGAATGTACTTGGGATTTCATGCGTAACCTTGTTTCTCTTTTTTTCACCCTAGTTTTGTATTTTGCTCATTGACTTGTCATTTGTCTTCTATCTATCTATCTATCTATCTATCTATCTATCTATCTATCTATCTATCTATCCATCCATCCATCTATTAGGGAATCACAGTCAGATATCGAGGGCAATTGTGGCCATCAGAGTAATGGACATAAACGACAATGCCCCTGAGTTTGCCGCCGAATACGAGGCCTTTCTGTGTGAAAATGGAAAACCTGGACAGGTAAGGAAAGAGGTGGCTCATTCATCAAACAAGTGATCTATCACTTTCCTTCTCTCTCTCCCTTTCTTTCTCTTTCTTTCCTCCCCTCTAATGATTGGCCACAGTGAATTATAGCCTATTTATTTCACTGGGAAACTACGGAGGAGGTGGGAGTGCGGTCCTTTTTTTCCCCTGCAACAGTTCTCCCTTGACACAGTGTCAGCAGAGCAAAGGGGAAATGAGAGCAGTCAGGATTGATCAGAGTGGATCATAATTCAAGACTGTCTTTCATGTCCTGCTCCAGATGGCACAATGCTTCCCCCAGCCAAAAATCCTGGACGAGTACTTAGCATTCTCCATCTCATCAATCGACCTCTTTCAGGGGACCTGTGTATGTACAATAGGGGGCTTTATTGAAAAGGGGAGAAAAAAAAAGAGGAAGTGAAAAAGGGAAACTGTCCTGCAGGGCCTGAATTCTAATTTCCAATCAATCATAAAGACGTACGGCACGATAAGACCTATGATGACAGATTAACAGATAGAGCCAGGAGCCTGAAAGTGTGCCAGACGAGACAGGACCTCATTGATAATAATCTCAAACTCCAGGAATGAATAGAGCGTATATTTCATCAGGTGTGATCCAGCCAGTATTACACTGAGGCAATCTCGGGTGGCAAAAAACAGGGTAATAAATAGGCTGCCACCTCTAATGGCTTTGAGCCCTCGTCTATATATCTTCTCATCTCTGTGTTTTCAATGCAGGTGATCCAGACCGTCAGCGCAGTGGACAAAGACGACCCGATCCAGGGCCACTACTTTGACTACCGCCTGGTCCCGGAGATGCTCAACAACCCCAATTTCACCATCAAAAACAACCAAGGTGAGAGAGAGAAAAAAGAAAAACACGGAGAGAAGCGACTCTTCTTGTGACAGAATGAGTGAAGTTTCTGTAAATTTCTCCAATGGCTTTCCAGTCTAATCTCTAACCCGCGGCATGTTAGCCGTTCTGGAGATGAAATCTGGTGGATCAGTGTAGCTCACAATTAGCAGATGTGAAATTGTCTGGACACCAGCTTCTTTTTTACTCCCCAGTGCGTTTTGAGGGAAACTAAATGAATGGGATCCAAATGGCTTTTCCTGGTAGTCTTGCGGCTCAATGTAGGATGACTTCCTAGGAGCTGTTGCAGTGTGGCAGATGGTGCTAAATTTATTTGCTAAATACTCTTGATTGGTTTATTTGCCGTCTTTCTCTCGTCTTTATTCCATTCCTCTCTTGCTGCAATCCCCTCCATGCCCGGCTCTGAACAGGCTGTGTTCATGATGACGTTGTGTAATGTTTTCAGCTTGGGGCAAAAAAATCTTCATATGGTACTATCCTTCTGTTTCGACAAGGAGCCCGCAGGCTAATTTACTGCAGCCTCTCTCTGATGGAGGAAAGAGTCCATAAAAATCGGGTCATCAAATGGACTTCCCGTCTTTTGACAAAAATAAAAACCTTTTTACTTTTCAAACAGGTACATTAGCAGGCAGGAAGAGATGAGATGCCAGTGTAATAATCACAGGCAAAAAAAAACCTCAGCTTAGTATAGCCATACCCTGCCAGACACATTAAGCAATAATTAGAGGACAAAAAAAAACAAAAAAACATTTTCCTGTCACATATGCAAAAAAAAAAACCCTTGTCAAAGTTGTAAGTCAAAAATGAAAGGCTTTTTTTAAACAGGCACAGATTTGCTGCATAATTCTGAGGCTTAAGTGCAGATCAACTTCAGAATACACGCAGGTTCCTGAACCCTGCCCCTTTGTTAAACAGAGATTTAATCATTTCTTAAGATGACGTGACAGATAAAACCCTGCTAGAAATGTTTCACTTGTATAGCACAGCAAAAAATAAAAAATAAAAAAGCCTGCATTGCTAAATAAGTATGCTGTGGTTCAGCTCTATCTATATATTACATACCGCACCAACCACTTGTCTGTTGCTAATTCCAAACAGAAGAAAGAAGCCAGTCGCGCCGCACCCCCCCCCCCCCCCAAAAAACACTTCAGTGGCTGAATCGGCAGCTGTGGGAGACACTTCATTGAAGAGCGTCAGGCTCCCGTGAGCCTCTGTGTGCTGCTTTTGTTTGTGATGATGAGTGTAATTGTAGGGATTGCACAGTGAAGAGGTTAGGGGTTGCCCACAGTGGGGAAAATGGCTGAGGTTCTGACCAAATGTATACAAGATACTGAGCACACTGACAAGTCTGCGTTGAGGAGGCGGGGCTACAGCAGAGCAGAGTATGCCATCCTTAGTAACTGAGACAACACACTGACCACCGTGCCAGAAATAAACTTCGACTCATAGAAACTCATTTCAGACTAAGGAGAGAAAAAAAAAAAAAACACAATCTTGTACCATGTACAACATATGAAGTTGAACTCACTACCAATAGATTGCTCAGTTCAATACACCCTGAAGTATTGCAGCTATAGTCTAACTTGCTTAGAAATTACCTTGTGGTGGGTGCTGTTAGCAAGGCTTTGCTTTATAACTGACAAGTTCACTGACTTTGTGACTCTCTACTTTTTCTAATGCTGCACCATGTTTAAGCCTTCTAGCATCAGCCTCTAATTGTCACTCGTGGCTAGGGTTGCCGCCTTTTATGTGGAAAAAAATAAGGGACAGTCTATTGCTAATTAATAAACTTCACTCCAATCCACTTGTAGGCTACAACTGGTTTGGTTTTACCTGACATTACATTATTCACAGCACTTTGAGGACATAACATGAACAAAAATACAGGACAAATTGCGTTGCATATTGATTCAATACAGGACGCAACGTTTTATTCTCAAATGTGAGACGATCCCGTATTATACGGGACGGGTGGCAACCCTACTTGTGGCCACAGAAGCTGCTACTTAGTAAAAGCTAAATACACTCATTTTAAAGTCCAGCTGGAGTTCTGTTTTTTTCTTTTTTCTTTTACAACATATTTGTCTGTAAAGGAGAAATAAATCTTTTTGCATTTCTTGTTTTTGTGGCATCACCTCCTTGCAGTGCACACACTGGTATCAGTGACTGGTTTACTAACAGCCAGTGAACAGCGGCAGAGCCAAAATTCTGGGGCCACACAACTGAAAAACTCACCTGCAAATGTCAACATCAGTCAGTTTCGATTTTAATTGGTGTAGTCCTTAGTCTGTAACACTGTCCTCATAACTTTCAAACTACATTTACTGGTGCAAGTTCGATTGTGATGGAAAAAATAAAGAGCTGTCGATCTAACCAGGCGGCCCCGGCGCACATGTTGAGAACCACTGTGTTACGCAATGAGCATATATGTTTATTTTGTATGCATTCACGTGGACTACTTAACAACTCACCGCTTCAAATTAGACTTACACAATAAAGCAGCACATATTAACATATCCATATAATCAGCAGAGAAGAGCAATCAGACTCAATTGTTCCTGTAGGAAAGAAGTGATACAGTGATAAGTGTCACCTGAACAATAGTCAGTATTTCCGTCTAGACGAAATCAGACCTTCTAACATTACCTCTTTTGCTTCTTCCAGTCCTTTGGTATTATGTTATTAAAAACCATTTAAGTCCCGCTGGTTTGACATTCATGAATGCACCGTGTGTAGCTGCTCACATAATCGTAAGAGACTTCAGAGAGTTCAGAAAGTTGCCAGACTGTAAGTGTCACTTCTGCTGTCACTACTGTCATTTGGAGCCTCCCACATATTAAGTTATTAATAGCTAAAAAATAAAATGAACCACTGCTTTTCTTATGGTGATGATTAATATTTTAATGTATACAGGGTTTTAATCAGATCAGATGAAACACTGTTAATATATAAAATATAATAAAAGATAATAAAAAATAAAAAAAAACAATCTTGTAACTCCAGTGAAGGTTATCTATGAAGCTGTTTTCACTTTGATGTTTAGTTCTATTTTTACCATCAAAAGTTGCCAAGAAAATGAAACTGACCTGTATACCAGGACAAGCCCTGATGCTTTATTATAGTGTAGTAGATACTTAGTACACACTCGCTATGCACTGCAGAGTGATCCAAATGAAGTAGGACATGTCGGTGCTCACAAAGCAGAGCGCACCACTTTGTGGCAGCAGTGGTAAGAAAATAAATCTGAGCATATGTTCACATCAATTACAGATCGTGCAAAGCAAATAATTCTATCATGAAGCGTTGCATCTTTTGATTAAGTTTGCTCTGTCAACGCAGATGTTTCAACATGGCTGTCTCTCTATAGCGTACAAGATCTACCCCCCCCACACCCTCACACCCCTCTTGTCAGTGCACCCTCAAGCAGAGAGGCAAAGGTTAGACTATCAGAAATCTTGTACATTTTCCATAAGATCAGCAGGAGTATATTCTTATGGGAATGCAAGTGTTTGATAATGTGAGCAGGGGTAAGGAGAGCCAGCTAATGAGCAGGCAGCTTCACAGAAGTGTCATCAAAGAGCAGCTGGCACCTTTCTGGGTCGACATGTGCCATGTTCTAAGCCAGCGTCGCCTGCCGTGGTCCCTTCATTTCTTCAGCTTTCAAAGGGCACAGCAAACTGGGGCTCGCCTTCCTTCAGAATTCCCAAATTGGACTGTCGACCAAAAGGGAAGGTGGCTGAAACCCATCTACGGCGTTGGAATGTGAGAATGCTAAAAAGCCAATAGTGACGATTGATGTGAAATTAGTTTACCCTCATGCTGCACTGATATTCACACAATTTAATAATAGAACTTCAATCTGTCACCAGCATGAATAATAATGGCTTTTTCACACATTCTCCAAAAAAAAAAAAAAAAAAAAAACTGTGATTTTGTACCCCTCTCTCTCTCTGACAGACAATTCAATCAGTGTTTTAGCCAAGCATGATACCTTCCGACGACAGAAACAGGAGATGTACTTCCTGCCAATCATTGTGACGGACAACGGGAACCCTCCGATGAGCAGCACCAACACCCTGACCATCCGGGTCTGTGGCTGCAGCAAAGACGGCATCGTCCAGTCCTGCAACGTGGAGGCCTACGTCTTACCCATCGGCCTCAGTATGGGAGCTCTCATTGCCATCCTGGCCTGCATCATCCTGCTGTTAGGTGAGGTGTTTTTTGTATTGAAATATTACCATGAAATGGGTTAACAGATGATTTATCTGTTCTGATAGAAAATCCACTTGTCAAAGCTTGACCTAGACTTCTTTTTTCTATTTTTCTTTCTTTCTTTCTTTCTTTCTTTCTTTCTTTCTTTCCTCCATGTTTTGACTTTCTTTCTGACAGTAATAGTAGTACTATTTGTTACCCTGAGAAGACACAAGAATGAACCTCTGATTATCAAGGATGACGAGGATGTGAGAGAGAATATCATCCGTTACGATGACGAAGGAGGCGGCGAGGAGGACACGGAGGCGTTCGACATCGCCACGCTGCAGAACCCAGATGGCATCAACGGTTACTTACCGCGCAAGGACATCAAGCCAGACCTGCAGTTCATGCCCCGGGCGGGCCAGCACTCAGGCCCCAATGGCGTGGACGTAGACGAATTCATCAACGTACGGCTCCACGAGGCAGACAATGATCCCACAGCGCCGCCTTATGACTCCATACAGATCTACGGATACGAGGGCCGTGGATCCATTGCCGGCTCCCTCAGCTCGCTGGAGACGGCGTCATCAGACTCGGACCAGAATTATGACTATCTCAGAGAGTGGGGCCCACGCTTCAGAAGACTTGGGGAGCTCTACTCTGTGGGCGAAAGCGACCGCGAGACCTGACCTTTGGTTTGTTAGAAAAAAAAAAGACCTTTCAGATTTTTTTTTCTGTCCACATGTGTGTTAAAACGCTAGGGGGTTTGCTGGCTTTTAAAAACAGGTGTTTAAAAAGAAAAAAAAAACAGTTAATAAACAAGGGAGGCCACCTTTTTGTATTCTTCTTAGAGTGAGGTATAGCAGTCGTCATCCACTACGTCAAGCGCATTGTAATTGTTGAACCAAACAATGTCTTTATTAGGAGATCTATGATTCTTGTGGAGTGTAACTTAGATTCCGTCGTGGAGTGTCTAGCAGTATTTTGGGTGTTAGTCATTTGCTGTGACTGCCAGTAGCAGAAAAACCTTGGGTTTGCTGGTAGTTGCCCAATGGAAGGAAATAATGGATGTTGTTGGGTTCTCTGAAGCTTGAGCAGACACACATATACTCCATGCTCCATGGATAGCAAGCTGGACTACGGAAGCTGCAGAAGGACTTTTGTTTCATGTCTGCCAGCTGACCGGTGATCTGAAACAAAATGACGAAGAAAAAGCAATATATGGTCTACATTACAATGATGAATGTATGTATGATTTGAAAAAAAAGCAAAAAGATAAACCAGTATTGGCTTTAAGGTGAATTTGTTATCATTTGATATGTTCTCTGGTGGCCACATTTATAAACTATCTAAAGCCTGGAAAGGCTTGCTTTATACAACTCTTTGTATTTACATGCTACAGGTGTGGGTCGCAAGTGTTACTAGCCTATAAAACACTTAAGTGAAGACAAAAAAGAGAAATGTAGAAACTCTGAGGCCTTCTTTTTACAGAAGCAACATTAAATACAATTGTAATCTACTGTTTTTTGACAAGAGACGTGTTGATTCTTCATTATTGTTCTGAGTTTTTGTATATCTGTTCTTAAATCATTTCTTTTCTGTGCTGACAATTTCAAGTGAGTGTGTTTAGATTATTTCACATTCAGCTGTTTTTTCAACCACTCGATCACTATTTCATAAGAGCCAAATCTTTATCATGAATTTACTGCAGATGATGACATAGACTAGATGTAAGCAGGCAAACAAGAGCTCTAAGTTACTGTAACAACTACAGATGATCTAATTAATTGGAAACGCAGGAATGGGACTTTTCTGACGCGATGCTAATTTTGTGTGAAATATGTCTCATGATATATCCTGGGGTACAGCCAGTGACCGTCTGAGCACAATAGTCCAATTGATACCTACGTGTAGTACGTGACTCCCTCCAATCTCATTTAGGAAAGATTGCATTAGCCCCAAGAAAAGTGAAAACACAAATCCAGACCATGTGCATATTGTGCTTACACTGTATGATATCAATAAAAAAGACTTGTACTGTACATAGAGTTACTGCTAACGTCATTAGCTTTCAATGAGGTGGTAGGTTTTGTCTCTGCACGTTAGCTCTTGCACATAACGAGAATCTCAATGGCACTACAGCTGCGTGCATACTCAGTTTGTACTGATACAGTATTATGGCAGTTCTCGGTAGACTAAACAATATATATGGAATAGTACTACATGCAGATCATATTTTCTACTGTGCTTTAATGCTTATAAATGTGTATGTTCAATTATTTACTCCCTGTACTGTAATCTAAGATACCCTGTATTGTTTCCTACTTTGTGAAATATATTTTTATAAATATTGCTGAATGGGTGTGGTTTTCTTATGCGCAACTGAGATATGACAGTACAAAATCACAGATGGAATGTCCGTGATGTTGAAGGAACACCTCACCAACTTCACACAAGGGTCAGTTTAGACGTCAAGAGGACACCATTCAGCTTGTGAAAATGGTTGTATGATGTCTTTTGAGGCTGTGGAAGTATCTTTAGAAAATGACCCTGATGATGTCATAGTGATGTCAGGGTTGCCTGAGCTTGGGCTGCAAATCTATAACGGAAAGGCTATGTTTAGAGTTTGAAAACACCAGGAAAAGAGAAAAAGAGATGCTGTTGGTTGCATTATGGGAAATGTAGGATCCAGTGCTTTTGGAATTTGACCTACTCTAGGAACAAAACTGGCCTTCGCTGCTTTCATTTTAACCGCTCTTTTTTTTTTTTTTTTTTTTAATCGGTCACTCGCAAATCCTCCAACTTTATGGAACTAGAGTACTACTGTGAATCGCATAAGAGTACCCCCTCTAAAAAACTACTGGCAATGGAATACATTTCTTTTGGTGGCATTTTCGTTATGGCCTTTTTCAAATATAGCTCCTGAAAAGCCTTGAAACATCACAGAATAATACCCAACAACAGAGCCTGAGAGCAGGAAGCACAACTGGACCCATCCTCACAACAGCAGGACGGCTCTGCTGAATCTCTTAAAGCGCTCTGGCAGGCATATGCGTCATAAAACAGTGTGATAAAGACAAAAGCAGCCCTGTAGCATTATTTTTCTCAGACTGTTCCTCACTTAGTCACCTAGCATATTCTGGCCCTGCACTCCATGAATGCTATAGAAGTCAGTTTCCTGATGCTGTGGAAAGCAAAAAAATTGACTTTTAACCCACTTGACTCAACATTCTATTATTACCGCTTTAGACTGAACCTGTACCCCAAAACAGCAAAAAGATAGATGTAAAAACACATCAACAGGGATGAAAAAAAGGAATCTCTAATTCTTATCATTTTCCCCTTCCAGCAGCTTTTCTTTGGCTTGAAAATGTCTCTAATGTTGAAGGCAACCTTTCATCCCTTAAAGTTTCTGTTTTGCTTGCTCAGAAAATATACTGTCTTAAGGATGTGCTTTATCAGTTTGACATTATGAACATGACATTATGAAGTTGTGACAATTCAACTTTCAGAGGGATATAGCCGTCAGTGCTGTTCAAATAAATTGTAGGATTGGTCTCTGTCGCACTGACTGGAACAGCAGTAGTCATTTAAAAGTGAATCAGAGGAAATCAAGGGTGACATCAACAAGCACTATAAATGTGGTGTATATTCTCATCTCTTTTTATGTCACCAGCCAAGACAGTATATAATTTCAAATATTCTTTTCACATATAATATAGTCTTACTAGATTGATGCAACCTAATCTGCTGTGTGTCATCACTAGTGTTTTATCAAAGAGAGAAATAAAGCTCAGAGACCATTGTGTTTTAATCGTGATCTTAATTTATTTAAATCTCGCAGAAACTATATACGCAGGGAGAAACAAGAAAAGCTGTCAATACATTAAATAGTCTGAGATGTAAATTGTGATGTTGTGTTAATAGTAATACTTGTCTGCCACTGTTACTTTTTTTTTATGAGCAAAGATTAGATGTCATGCAATTTCCTATTTTCTTTCTTTATTCCCGTATTTCCTTTTTTTTAAATTCCCTTTTGAACATTGTTTCTTCTTTGTTAATCCTTAAAGATTAGACTTTTGTTTGAATTTATCTGATATTGAGTTTTCTCACAAATAACAAAAGCTTTTGATCATATCAATTACTGACTGTGTCTCAGTTAACTCAAAGGCTCAAAATCACACTGTCTTCTATGCCTATATAGCGTAGTACACACACACACACACACACACACACACACACACACACTGGAGAGGGATAATATTCTTGTAACGAAAACAATATAGATAAGATTAAAGGAGCTATTTGTAAGTTTTGCTATTGCTACATAGCCACTGTTAGCATTAGCAGCTGTTTACATACCAGTCTTACCAAAAGCTTGAGCCATGGTTGCATTTACAAGACATGAGGTTATAATTTGTCCTGTGACATGCTATTTCTTCAGGGCAGATTGAACACTACACTGACTCGGTATCGGAAAGTCACGAGACAATCCAGCTGTAACTGGTTAGCATACTAACTTCAGTAGAAGAAAAGAAGTGACAGATGAAGACTTGCCATTGCTTTCCACTTCTGGAGACAGCTCTTGATGAGTAAAGGAAAAAAGTTTGATGCTGAACTCTCAATGTTTCTTCTAGACTGGTAAGTAAACAGCTGTTAATGCTAGCTAAGTAGCAATAGCAAAACTTACAAATAGCTCCTTTAAACATATTTGATGTCTGAGATCAGAGATATCAGAAACCTCACAGTCTGATTCCACATTGCAACATACATCTACCTTTTCCAAACTTGCCAAAATGGGGTTGGTATTTCAGATTTGCCCTCTGGGATTGGAAGTGATGTTACACCTGAAAGCTGCTATCTTTATGCACCTGATCCATTAGTCAGCTATGGAACACATTTTACCCACCGATATCTCCCAGTAAATGATAGAACAAATTGTTTTCTGGAATGTGTAACCTCGGCAGGTCAGTAGACTCATTTGTAGTCAATCTTCATGCTCCCCCACTGCTGTGTATGGCTGCAGGTCTGACAGAGGTTGCCTAACTAAACAGTAAATCAAATTATCTTCTCACTTTTGTCACGTAATGGAAGTGTCCCTCGGGTGACAACCTTGCACTTGTTGTACCCTGCTGATATGTGCCAGATTTTATAAGGCAGGCCTGTGGCTCTGGCTCGCGTGGTGTAGAAACTGTAATTACTGTTGCCTGGCAGAGATGCCCTGAATTACAAACAAACTTTGGTGCATACAAATTAAGAAAGCTGCTTTCTGTTCTGGATTTTGAGATATAACCTAAATATCATGGTTTGACATGTCCCACCTGATATTTTTTCTTCTTTTTTCATATTTACCATTGTACTGTTTTAATGGCTGGATTAACCCCTTTAGGGAGCCCTGAGCAAAAATGAGCAGTGGATTCCAACTGATCCCTTGTTCCCACCACTCTGTATTGCGTATGTATGTGGACCCCTTCAAGTCTATCAAGTACACTGCAGACTACACACAGCAGATTAATTATATTTTGCCTAAAGGTGGATTCTACCTGGCCCCAGGTTTGCTGTGCACCAATTACTTTCTGGCAATTTGATTAAACACTAATTCCTTTAGCAATGTGCACCAAGTAAGAACAGTATCAACACAAGTATTAAAGCTTGTAAAACTAGAGCGACCTCTACAAATAAGAACCTCAAATTTAGTTAATAGGGACTAATTTGAATTTTTCCCACTTACATCAAGTAGTAGTATC